CGTTCGAGAAGTAGTAGTGTCAGTCGAAGACGAAGGGAGGGCTGTGGGGAGGGGGTTTATGAGGTTTGGTTCCCAGTCTTGGCGAAAATTAATAATTAAAGAGGGAGGGAAAAATGTTAGGTACTATTCCCCCCGTTCAGGAAAGAAACTACTAGTAGTTACCAAAAAAAAGATCTCTCCGGGACCTCCATATCAGATTGAAGGGTGTACGGGCCTTCATCCGATGGGTGTAGCGGTATAGAATAAGAACATCAGTTTTTATATATGTTTATTCGTATTAAGCATGAACATAGGGAAGCAAGGTAGGAAGGATAGGCCAAGGCCAGCGGCCAGTCGGAGGCTGCTGCCAGCCAGGGGTAGATAACTCCCTCTCTCTCCGTGAGCGGCTCTTAAGTAGCCTTTCCATGATGCGTCATCATCCAGCGAGTCGGCGTGGGTGGCTCCGCCAGACGAGATCGGGTCGAGGATCTCTGATGTAAGCCATCATCCATATGACACACGGTCCGACTTTAGGGATTTCATGGTGAGCTTCATGAGCGAGTACATTGTGCGATCCACAAGCGCGTCCATTCCTCTTCGTCATCCAGTTCCCAGCGATTGAGAACAGGAACTATTGCACCTCTGCACATTGCAACACTGGACTTCGCCTCGGAGCGTTTTCCATACGATGTGAAAGGCCTGCACCACCAATACTTTTCGGTGTGGTGGTCCGCAGTAGCCTGTGAAATAAACAGAAGATAATGCATCATCATTTCACAATATTTAACATATTTGGAACAAAATAAAGGCATTATGCAACCAAAAACTTACCTTCTTGTACTTTTGGGCCAACCATTGCACGCAGTCGATCAGACCCAACACTTCTTTCCTGTGAGTTTGGTATTCTTCCATTTCAGCCTTCATGACGGCGGCCATCTCATCCGCCCAATTGCGGACGGCTGAAATGTCCCGCATCATGTTGAAGAGCTTCACTCTGACCGTTGAAGGCCCTCCACACTTTCTAGGCTGAAAAAAAATAATAAAGTAATATAGTATCTTCGATACACAAATTTTTTTTCCTGTCCACTCACCGCAATGTAGGACATCACTTCAGCTACGAAGTCATCTAAAGTCGACGACATCTTTCCTTATCGGAAAAAAAGGTCAGGAGTTTTGTGGGTGCTTGAGACTAGGGTTTTATCTGTCCCTGTTGTAATGGTGGTTCAGTGGTTAAACGAGAGCAAGAGATAGATAGAAGGAGCACAACGTTTTATTACTCACCAACGTAGAGCCCGAACAAAGCAGAAGTGCTGGGCTCAAAGTTACTCGCCCTACAACAATA